CCCAATATATATATATATATATATATATATTTGTGGAAATATATAGAAAATAGAAAAGAACTGGTTAGGTAGATCCAAAGTTCCTTAGTATTTTAGTTATTATTTTTAAAAATAGTGCTCGATACAAATGTAGAGCATAAATATAATTATTTATTTAAAAATATGATTCCAACTCTCGACATAAGAGGTCCCATGTTTCAAAACAAGAGCCGAAAACTTCAATATAATTATTTGAATTAAATTGAGTTAAAGAAAGCTCTGTTCCATCTTCAAGCAAAATTTTTTTTTGAATCAAATATATATATATATATATATATATATATATATATATATATATATAGACTATAAATATAGAGTGTACTTTTCCAAAGAATGTTGTAGGCTGACAGGTATTTCCAGCAAGCAGAATTTTTCCCAGAACCAAATCCCATAAAATTCCAGCGTGAAAATCTCTTCACTGGGCACTGGTGTCGGAAGTCAGTTGCACAATCTCTTTGGCCTGTCCACCCACCCACTTCATCTGATTGGCTAGTTTTGCCAACCGATCGGACAGGCAGAGAGACATACAAAGCAAGCTGTCCATCTGACAAGCAGTTAGGTTTTTCTGTCACCCACAGGTTATGCAAGAGGATTACTATGGGATCCGTTTCCTCCTTTTTCTTGTCCAGTTCCAAGAATGGATTCCACATGACTGGATAAATCGCTGGCTTTGGTAAACAGTACGACTTGTCCATCAAATGCAGTGCCTTGCTTTCGTTTTCTTTTGTCTTAGAAGCATGACTGCACTTTTCTTATCAAACACTAGGAGATGTGAAGATTTTGCTTTGAGCTTGTCTGAAAGTTTTGCTTTCTTTCAACTTCAGTTTTTTTCTTTTAAATTTCATCTCTTCATTCCCTGGATTTAGCAGTGATTCTTTTAAAAGCCACCAATGTATATATATATATATATATATATATATATATATATATGAATAAACTGAGAGCGACAGGCAGATAGATAGATATGATATGCCATGAATAGGTAAATGGATATGAACTCTCCCTTTCTCTCTCCCTCTCTTCCTATATATATATATATATATATATATATATATATATATATACACAGAAATAGATATAAACAAATTGAGAAAGATAGATACCTAGCTAACTAGATAGATATATATGAGCAGGCTGAGATATATAGCTAGCTAGCTACTTGTCATGAAACATTTAATTGCGGAAAGCAGTAACATATGAGCATTATTTTACAAATATTATACACTGTGCAATGGATAAATTGTCATCAAAATTTTGCAAAAATGAAATGAACAAATTTATTCAATAAAATCACCATTGACTTTAATCATGGCTGCAACACATCTTCAGAATCCCGTGCAATTCTTCTGGAAGGTCTCTTTGTTTAAGTTGCTCAATGCTGCCATAATCCTTGCCTTCAGTTCAACTTTGGTGTTAAAAGGAGTTTTGTTGGTCTCTTGATCAACTGTGCACCATGCATAATAATCAAGGGTGTTGCAGTCTGGGGAGTTAAGTGGCCAGATGTAAGGTGGGATGTTGCTGCAGAAATTGTCTGATAGCCATGACTGGGTTATCCTGCTTGTGTAGCAGGCATAGAAACTTCTAGTAGCCACCATCTTTACCCACGGCAGCACTACCTCCTCAAGGCACTTGATGTTGGCATCTGTGCTGAATCTGAGACATTCATCATCAAATTCAGGATGATTAGAATGAGTTTTCTGAGCTGCCATACCTTTGTAATCCACCATTAGTCTCATTCATCTCCTTCTGAATCCTCTGCATTGTCTTCAGACTGATACCCAAAAACTCTGAAATGTCTGTATTGAAACTTCTGGCATGAATGCCAAGCAGTACAGCATGCCATTTCCAAATTTCTGTCAGATTGAATTGTGTCATGGTGCTCTTTTTCTCACAGAGAGTACCCAAATTGGCCATACTATACTGTTGACAAAATTAGAAACAAACAACATACATGTGCAAAATTAAAAATATATATTTACCCATGGGACCTTGTGTGCATACATATATATATATATATATATATATATATATATATATATATATATATATATATATATATATATCCTGTTTCCTTGTGAGCTATAATCTCCAGCTATTCAAGTGTAATGTCAATCGACATCTCCAGTTGCCTTGATCTATCCACTACCCTCATCCTTTCTTCTATCACTCCCTATCTGATCTTGCTCTAAATTTTCTGTAACCCCTTGTGTCCTAGTGGCTTCCCACCTTGCTTGGGGTGAAATGCTTAAAAAAATATATATATATATATATATATATATATATATATATATATATTATGAAATGGATTAAGTCTGACAATTACTTTAATATATTTTCAGTTTATATGAGGAAAATATTCTTCTCTGTGAGTGTTGAGATTCAAATAGAATTATTTATTATAGATTTACAGTACTTTACAAATCTCATTTGAATTATTTATTGTCTAGGGAAATAAGTTTATTGGTGATTCTGTTGCAGGAAAATACTTGTTCTATTGCAAAAATCAAGCAACACACTCTATTGGAAATGGTATGGAAAGAAATACTAGACAGTTTCCTCACAGACAAAGAGAAGAAAAATGTTGTTCTTCAGAAGGATGCTGAGAATATTATGAACTGAACATGTGAGTAACGATGAAGTTTTAAGGAAAAGGGGAAAAAAATGGAATTACACTTTGAATCTAAAAGAGGCAGTTGAAATTTTTCCTATACATATAATGAGGAAAGAAAGCTTGAAGATTTTGACACTCACAGGACATTGAAAGCAAGTGGGGCAAAGGAAAGCTATGAGCTTGTGCAAATGGATGACAGAACAGTGAATGGGAAAGATATTAAAAAGCTATGAAGGATAGGAAGATGTGGAGAGCCATGATAGGCAACATCCTAAAATGATATAGCACAAAGAAAAAGAAGAAGAAAAGAAGAAAATTGGGAAAAATTTCAATATGTTTGTAATTTTCAAAGAATCCTAAAAAATTAATGAAGTCAAAACAAAAAATCTATTTTATGGTATAATACACAATAAATGGAAACATGGAATAATTTTATTGGAAACTAGAGAATAATGCTTGATGACTGACTAAACTATGAATTCATAAAAATAAAAAATTTGATTACAAATTCAGGAAACTCTTGCATCAACATGATACAATAGATTTCTGTATGGATTCTTCAGATGAGGTATTGTCAGTATTTTGTCAATGTGATGGCAAAAGCTCATAATTTTTTCATGAAATAAGCAAAAATATATTGAAGATAAAAATTCAGAATAAATATGCATAATACAACATTTGGCAAACTTTAACCTTTGTGCCACAAAAAACAGTGTGTCCAAAGAACAGTATTTCCTTTGACACTGCTATTATTTTGTTCTAAATTCACTACCTCGTCAGTCTTTATTTATAAGATTATAAAACTATGAGAATCAAGCACAATGTGATATTTATTTTTTACCTGTTATAAATATTTATTATTTACCATTTTATAAAAAATAAATGCAAAAGAAATCTTATTTAAAACTTAAAACAAAAAAATGACAAAATTATTAAAATATTGGCGGCTCTGCAAGAGCATCCTGAACAATAGAAAACCCTCCATACCTCCTTTATTCAACCAGTTCGAGATCCTGACCTCCTCTACTGACAAGGCTGAATGCTTTGCTCAGAAATTCTCATTTAATTCAACGCTCGACTCCTCCGATGTACCCATACCAGACTTCCCTCTAAGAACTGTGGCCCTATTGAGCGGGTTACACATAACCCCGTCATTGGTATTGGGCATTATCTCCAATTTAGACCCCCACAAGGCTAGTGGTGGAGATGGCATACCAGCCATTGTCTTGAAGAAATGTGCGCATGAGCTAGCACCCGCCCTCTCTAAACTATATAATTACTGCCTCAAGGAATCCTGTTTTCCTGACAGCTGGAAGTCCTCATCCATTGCTCCTGTTTTTAAGAACTCTGGAGACCCCTCTGACCCCTCTAATTACTGTCCTATTAGTCTCCTACCCCTCTTTGGCAAAGTCTTCAAAGCCCTAATCAACACCAAAGTGGTTAACCACCTTACCTCACACGACCTGCTCTCAGACAAGCAATATGGTTTCCACTACGCCCGATCTACAGCTGATGTGCTTACGGTCATCACTGAAACCACCTACCAAACCCTTCAAAATAATGGTGAGGCTCATGCCGTTGTCCTAGACATCTCCAAAGCATTTGATAGGGTTTGGCATGCCAGCCTTCTTCGCAAACTCCAGGGTTATGGTATTACTGGTCGATTGTTTGACCTAATGCAATCATTCCTGTCAAACTGTGAATTGAAGGTCATTCTCAATGGATTCTCCTCCAGTTCCTATCCCACGAAAGCAGGTGTTCCCTAAGGCTCCATCCTTGGCCCCACTCTATTCCTTATTTTCACCAACAACCTTCCTGATGCCATAGATTCCCAATTTGGCATCAATGCAGATGACACTACAATTTACTCCTGCCTCAAAAAAAAAATCTAGTGTTGGTGACAAAACTAACCTGGCCGCTTTGTCTTGAAATGGATCTCCAGTTGGTTGTTAATTGGGGCATGAATTGGCTGGTCAACTTTAATGCCTCAAAAACTAAACTACTCTCTATTAATCACCATAGAGATCCTTCCCTGCCCCCCATTAGAATATCTGATAGTCAACTTCTTGAGAGCAACTCTCTGCGTCTGCTCGGTCTCACGTTGACTGCTGATCTGAGATGGAACAAATACATTGAGTCAATTGCTTGGAAAGTTGGCTCTCTGTGCCATGCCAGTAAATTTTTCTACCCGGAATTGATACTTCAAATATACAAATCAACCATTTGTCCTTGCATGGAGTAATACTGCCATATATGGTCTGGGGCACCTTCTGTTTACCTCGGAGTTCTTGACAAGATCCAGAGACAGATATGTAATATAATTGGCCCTGATCTGGCATCTTGTCTACAGTCACTCTCTCACAGATGTGCCATCACCTCTCTCTGTCTTTTCTACAAATACTTTCATGGTAATTTCTCTGAGGAGCTGCTTTCACTGGTTCCCAGACTCTATGAATTCAAGTGCCCTACAAGGCTGGCATCCTGCTCCCACCATTATACTGTAGAAACTTTTAAATGTAGCCGTCTCTTCTACTCCAATAGCTTCATACCTTGCACCTCTCACCTGTGGAACACCCTTCCTGATTACTGTTTCCCTGAGAGCTATAATCTCCAACTATTCAAATGTAATGTCAATCGATATCTCCCGTTACCTTGATCTACCCACTATCCTTCTCCTCATCCTTTCTTCTATCACTCTTATCTGCTCTCGCTCCAAATCTTCCGCAACCCCCTGTATCCTAGTGGCTTCACACCTTGCTCGGGGCGTAATGCTTAAAAAAAAAAAAAATCAGAACCATCTACAATGCAATATTTATTATTTCTCTCTCACTTTATGTGCTGTGTCTCTTCAGGACGTTGGTGATCATGACTCTTCACAACTTCCTCTCCCTTGTAGCTCTTAATAATTTTTTTTCTGTTATTTCTCCTCAACTCTGTTCTACCATCCATTTTTTCAAGTTCACTAAGTATGTTATGTGTTGTTTTCCTCTGTGTCTCTTGCTCTCAATCTGTCTTGTGGGTATCAGATTCTCCAAGCCCTCCTTCTTCATTATGTGCCCCAAAAAACTCAACTGTCTCTGTTTGATGTTATCTATAAGTTTCCTTTTTGATACTATTTTCTCTAAAACTTTGTCATTGCTAACATGTTCAGTTCATGGTATTCTCAACATCCTTCTGTAGAACAACATTTTTGTTGCTTCAAGTCTCTTCATTTATTATTCACTATTTTATATATAACTCAAAAAACAAGTGTTTTATTCATAGGTTTATAAAAATATCAATGAGTCATAAAACAAATATTTCTTTCTTTAGACATTGATAAATGATAAACATTACATTAGCTGGTTCACATTTTTAAGATTCGTATTTTTAGAATGTTGCAAATATAAAATTATTCTTGTAAATAAACAATGTAATAAATAAATAGTGTTTAATATTTTTGTTGTCAATTCTTAAAGAACAAAGAAAACGAATAAATTCACTTTTTCTTTTTAAATCAATAAACATTGCCAAGGGAGTGAAGAAGTTAAAATAATAGTGGTGTCAAGGGAAAAACCATAATTTTTTGAGTATTTATCTTAAAACCATGAAGGTTAAAGATCCCCAAGGCTTTTTAAAGTTGTGGACTAACTTCATAAAAAGTCTTTGCATCAGAATATCATCTGTCATTCTTATAGTCCATTTAATTTTTTTATTCTTTCTTTTGTCTATCCCTCTACTTCCCTCCTATTGTCTTTCTAATTCTTACATCTTTCTTTCTATTGATTACCCTCTCGTTCTCTACTATTGTCCATTTAATTTCTTTCTTTTTCTACTGATGTCTCTCTTTTCCTTTGTCATTGTCTTTCAGTTACATCTTTCTTTTGGTCATCTCTCTCTCTCTCTGTGTCTCTCTCTCCCTCCCTCTCCCTCTCTGCCTCTCCCTCCCTCTCTCTCAGTGATGTTGAGAAGAATAGACTGAATACTAATTGGTATTTTTTCATTTTACATCTTTCTTCGATGTTTTACCAGTTGTTGGCTAAACAACAAACCATCTCTTGTGGCTTCTTCATAATTTGTATATTCTAAGAAGCCATTGGCCCTAGGGGAGGGTCTGTGAAGCATCAATGGAAAATTGTAGTATGACTGACAGAAATACATATTTATTCTTTCTGATTATTTTAGTTATTTTTGTATTTTTTAACTATCGTTTTATATATATATATATATATATATATATATATATATATATATATATATATATATATATATATATATATATATATATTTGAATTTTTCACATAACCCTAAAAATGGAATATATTCTTCCATTTTTTGGCTGTGTTCCATAAATATTGTTTATCGTTGCCTTTACCTCAAGAGATGACTTCAACAAATGACTTCAAAACAAACCTGGAAAATTTGTACATTTTCTTCCTTTTATTTTTTTATTTTTTATTATGCAAATAAAATAAAAATGTTAGACTTATTTTATGACCACAATGAGGCTGCTGAAAAATACAAGAAAACAATGCATTTGAAAAAATAAATTAAAGTCATTATTTTTATATATTTGGGTATACACTATAACCTGGATATAAGAGAGTTGTCGGGACCAGAGAAGAAGTCTCTTATATCCTGGTTTCTCTTATATCCGGGTTTGGTCTATTTTATATACATTAACACAGGCTCTAATTTGGGACCAGAAAAGTTTCTCTTATATCCGGGTCTCTTATATCCGGGTTTGGTAATAATCCATTAGCCTAATGATTAAAAAAACATTTATTTTACACAGCAAATATCTATTTTTCAATTTAATCCTCCTTGTTAATGCACTTCAACATTAATCATAAATATCAAGCATTATAAAATGAGAATTTCATATCAAAATCAGTTAAAGATGGTGCCAGCACTTTTTAAAATAACACAGCCCATAGATGAATTCTCATTATACAGGGTATATTGCATAAATTGTTGCTATTTTATAAATTTAATTTCACACATGTACATTGTTTTTTTTTTTATTTTCTTGACTTCACAGTATAGTAGGGTCAGTTGGGTACCATCTGTAAGAAAAAGAGCACCATGATGCAATTCACTCTGCCAGAAATTTGGAAATGGTAAATTGTTCTGCTTGGCATTCATACTGGAAGCTCCAATACAAACATTTCAGTGTTTGGATGTCAATCTGAGAGAGTGCAGAGGATTAGGAAAGAGATGGATGAATCTAATGGTGATTATGAAGTGACATCAGCTCGGAAAACTCACTCTAATCATTCTGATAATAAAAGAACTCCAAATTTGTTGGTGAGTGCCTCAGACTCAACACAGAGACCTACATCAATTGCCTTGGGGAGGTAGTGCTGCCCTGAGTCAAGACAGTTGTTGCTGGAATGTCCTATGCCTAGTAACAGGACTCTGCACCATGCTACACAAGGAGGAGAACCCAGTCATGGCTATCAGACAATTTCTGCAGCAACATCTCACCTTACATCTGGCCACTTAACTCCCCAGACTGCAACACCCTTGATTATTATGCATGGTGCACAGTTGATCAAGAGACCAACAAAACTCCTTTTAACACCAAAGATGAACTGAAGGCGAGGATTATGGCAGCATTGAGCAACTTAAACAAAGAGACCTTCCAGGAGAATTGCACGAGATTCTGAAGATGTGTTGCAGCCATGATTAAAGTCAATGGTGATTTTATTGAATAAATTTGTTCATTACTATTTCAAGATATTTTTGTGTAATTTTAGCAAATATATCTGTTAAAAAATGAGATAGTTGGTGCAAAAATAATGATGTAATAATGTCGTTTTTTGACGTTAAAAATATGTCAAAAAACGACATTATTACGTCATTATTTTTGCACCAACATAATATTTTCATTTGATCAATGATCATCCATTGCACCCTACATACATACATATATATATATATATATATATATATATATATATATATATATATATATATATATATATATATATATATATATATATATATATATATATATATATATATATATATATATATATATAAATATATAAATGTTATTTCCAAAATAGTAATGGATTTTTATTTATTAATCCAACATGTTTATCACATTAAACGTTATTTTCAGTGGATACTGATTTTTGAGTAGATGGTTTGTTTATTTTTTAAACAGTATATTTATGTTTGTCTGCTGATCTGGATATTCAAGAAATCTTATTAAAGAAAAATTGTACTCTCCAGCAGGATTTGAAACTTCATTCCCCTTTGAGGAGAAAACATTATTTGGTTAACTGTATATCTTAAATATCTCCGCCTACACACCAAGACTTGATCTTCTAACCCATTTTTTTCTAAAAGGTATAGATAGGTCTCCCTATCACTCATTCCATACCCCTGTTATAAAATAAAATGACATATCTCGGCTGATTTAAAGGCAAATACTCAAGAGTGAGAACCGGATGTGAACGAGACAAAGCCCCGTCACAAAATGACCATTATCTTTCTTAACAAATGTTTCCAACACAGGTGTTCCGGTTGAAAAATAAAATAATATTTAAAGTGCTCTATTTTTCGTCCAATAAAAATGCTTCCCTCCTAATTATACTCGCTTCGTTTCTTGAGCCTATTAAGCCATAAAAAAACGCTATAAAAGGGGTCACAGGGAAGTTCAGCGGCAGTCAACAGGTGGCCACAAAGGAGACCGGTCACGTTTAGCAGTTGTCAGCAGGAGAGCACCAACCACCATCAACATGTGTGAACTACTATGAGAGATCGACCTAGATCCGAAAGCCGGCTTATGAACTTTACCACACCAAGGTAGCTGTCCTAAACCCTTACGTTCCTGTTGAAATAAACCACGTAAATCTATTTCTACTGTTGTCGTATTTCTTTCTTGCAACCATACGCTTGACCATAACACTCCTCACTCATATTTTGAACAGGAGTAGAGGTTTATTCCTTGTTTCCTGTTCAACACTGGGTTTCCATTTCCTTCTTCTGAGGCTTTAATAAGTGTAGCATTCATGGACGAATGCTACAAATCTTCATACTGAGAGTACCAGGTTTTCATTTGTCTGGTTGCTGCATACTGACTGGTAGTAAGGAACATGAACTCTTAGGTAGTGCTTATAGAGACTGCTCTGATCAATAGTCATATAATATCAAGGTTCTTGCGGTGCTATGTCATGCATGGATCCCTGCAAGCGCTTCCAGTGGGCAACTATTCTACAATCTCTGCCAATTACCAAACAGCTCATGGTGCTTTTATATTTACTACAATTATTCTTGATATTTTCCACCATTAAAAACATATCATGATCAAAACAAAAACCTAAACCAACTTGCAAAAAATATCCCCTAAACCTTTTATATCCAACCTTTGTGGCATTTATACCAAATTTGGCAATCTAGAATCTGTTGGAACATTCTCCAGACATCCAAGCTCTCTGTGAAACTAATCTGAGTCTTTAATCTCTTCCAGTGAATTCTTTGCACCTGTCTATCTTCCTCTCTTTCAAAAGGATTCTAGTGTCCATATGCATGGCTTTAATGTCAATGTTTGTGAGCATCTCTCTCAGGAAAGGGAACTGTCTCTTAAGTCATCGAATTGTTCTTACAAGTGCTTCCATCTTTCACTAATAAACTCAGTTGATACTTCTTCTTCCTTTATCATTTCCCCTTCACATTTCTTTGTGTTCAATGATTTAAATGTCAACCACATCAGGTGGCTTAATTATCCTAATGTCACTGACCATGCTGGCATCCAGACTATGAACTTCTCAATTACTCAATCTCTCATTCAAATAATAGCCTCCCCAACGCATTTCACTAGTAACTGATGGACATGCTTCTTTATTTGATTTCTTCCTTACCACCCCTCCCCAGCCTTATATCGTGCTTTGCAGCTTTGTCCTCTTGGCTACTCCTACCATATGGTATTGTCTATAGACATGTTGTTCTGCTTTCACATCATGATCAACAGAACATCTTTCTGTTATCAACATACTGACTTGAACTCATTTTGTGACTTTCTTTGCAATACCCTTGGAATTATATTTTTAATCAACCTGTTGAGAAATGTACAACTGAAATCACTTCCGGGTTGAAAAACAACATTGAAGGTTTCATGTCAGCATGGAATTACCAAATGAAGCCTCAAATTTCTCCTGGGTTCTCTCCTGCCGGTTTAGCCACTATAACTTGCAGGAATCACTACTTCCAGATATATCAGAGTGACAGATATGACTGTAACAGACTGCTCTTTGTCACTGTTCATAATGAATATAAGAGTGTCCTCAAAGAGGCAAAGTCATTATTCACTGATAGAATGAGACATCGTATAGCCTCTCACAAGTTTGGTTCTAGAGATCACAGGAAACTCTTGAAGAGTGTACTGAACAAGAGAAAATTTTCAGTTTCTTCTCTCTTGAAGTATTGATATTTACTGCAGCTAAAGCACAGTGTGTTACTTGACTTATCTGGAGTATCTGTGCCTGATTTTTTTCCCTACAACAGTCTGTAGTGAGTGATATACACATAACTTTGAGCATGGTTTCTGTTATAATTTCTAAATTAGATTCCCACAGGGCTTGCAGGATCAATGGTATCCCTGTAGTTGCCCTAAAGAAATGAGCTGCTGAACTGGCTTTTGTTCTCCCAAAACTCTACTATAGATGCCTTGCGACTTCTTGCTTTATGGGCACATGGCCGAGTGGTTAGAATGTTCGCATTCTGGCCATGAGACCCGGGTTTGAATCTCACTTTGGTCGATTTGTCAGGAAGGAGACTTCCTGATGTTATCGGACTGGATCGAGGTTGATTCCAGTGTGCGGCAACTTTGGAAAGTGCCTGAAAACCATCCCCAGAGTTGAATCTCACAATGGTCGAATTGTCAGGAAGAAGACTTCCTGATGTTATCAGACTGGAAGGGTCGATTCCAGCATGCAGCAACTTTGGAAAGTGCCTGAAAAACATCCCCTGTGT